TCCAGTCATCCTTGTTCCATATCTAGTATCCTCCTATGAGTGAGTACATACCATATTTGTCTTTCTGAGTCTGGGTTACCTCACTCAGGATGATTTTTTTCTAGATCCATCCATTTGCCTGCAAACCTCATGATAATAAACTAAGGCTAACAATTCTTTGATCAATTGTTAGATATACTTATGCCTTGAAAAGTCAGCCTCTTTCTTAATTTATTACTTTTGTTTATTTGTTTACTTACCTTTTTGAGTCAGGGTCTCACTATGCAGCCTTGGCTTACCTAGAACTCACTATGTAGACTAAACTATCCTCGAACTCACAAAGCTCCCCCTGCCTCTGTCTCTCAGATTCTGGGATTAAAGACATAGATGACCATATGGCTCATTATTTATTTTAAAAAGATAGTCCATTCTCCTGCCTCAGTATACCCAGTGCTGAGACTACTGGTGTGAGCCTCAATGGCTGTTTTGTCTCACTCACACCACAGTCCTCCCTGGTCACCTGTACCCTGTTTTTTCATCATCCAGTCCTGCCCACATGTCCAGGAACATGGCCATGCCTTTAGAATATTGTCAAGATCCTGCTGCTGGGGTGGGTTTGAGGTTTGTGCATTTACCCATGCTTCAGAATCTGTCTGTAGATTGTGCCTAATCCAAGAGAAACATTGGATCATATGTGGAGCCCCACAGAAGGGGTGGGAATCATCAGGAAAAGAATTAAAATGATGAAGAAAAACACTGCACCAGATGATAGCTTTTGTGTTTGGTGTTATCCTCCTGTGACTAAGAATAAAATTCTCAACCGCTGATATTTCTGTGTGAATACATTTTAATGTCTTCTCCAATCAGGCAGCTATTCTAGTGCATTCCCCATGTAAGAATTCATATATTATATATGGTTGAGGAAGGAAGGAAACAGAGTCTGTGAGGCAATTATACACCTGATTCCACACAGGAAGTAAAAAGTAACATCTCTGTCCCATTTCCTCCATTCCTTTATGGGAGAGACTGAGGGATGGGGTGGGGCATGAGTTGACTGTACTTCCTGGTTCTCTTATATCTCCCTGGGAGAGTGAGAACCAGAGGCACTCTAATTCCATCCCTACTGACTCATGAACTACTTGTTCCCTGCCTTCCAAGACACTCAGGTACAACTCAGTGTCTTGAGTTGTTCATGTATCTGCTTCTCAGAAAGAGCTCTGTGATGCACACAATCTTAGACACTCTGAGTTCTCTGTCACTGAGCAATTAAATGGTAATGGCTCCCAAACTTCTTTGGATAACTTGTGAAAAAGACTACATTTGATTAGCCATCCATGAACATGGAAAATAGAATGGGATTACTATCTACCATCTACAGCCTAATTATAATTGGCTCTCATCTTAAAAGCATACACTGTTCACACTAAATGGACTTCAGAAGAGGGTTAGACTGACTCATTTCACTAAGAATACCCATTTAAAATCACATAGTGAACAAGTTGTCGTGCCTGAGTTTAGGTTTCTCTGAATCCAGTAACTCCTGAGTAACCCCAGATACCTTCTGCTTGGCCACACCTCTCTAAACTGAGTTAGAGCCCAAATTCCAACCTCATTTCTTCCATTCAGTGTTCATCCCTCTTAAAACATTTGTCCATTCAATTACTCAAAACACATCATTGACTATCTCTTAAAAACTAAGCACACACTAGCACACACACACACACACACACACACACACACACACACACACACACACCAGCTCACACAAAGAGATCTACCAGCTCAGATTATCACATCTCAAAAGATGTTATCCAGTCTAGTTGGCCATTAAGATCATCTACTTCTGGATTCTAGAGCTCTTCTTCATCACTGCATAACTTTGTGATCTTAGGTATAGACAATTTTTTTTGTTGGACCTCCAGCTCACAAAAAAATGACACAGAGACTTAATATTAAATATAAAAGCTTTGCCTATAGCTTGGGCTTGTCCCATTAGCTCTTATTACTTAAGTTCACCCATTTCTATTTATCTACATGTTGCCACGTGACTCGTGGCTTTTATTTCTCCTCTTGCACATCTTGCTCTCTCTGCATACAGCTGGCAACTCTTCCTTTCTTCTCCCCAGAGCTCTCTCTGTCCAGAAGTCCCTGCTATACCTTCTGCATAGCTATTTACCATTTAGCTTTTATTAAACCAATCAGAGTGACATATCTTTACACAATGTAACCAATTATCTTAAAACATTTACCCACTTTTGTCTAAATAAAAAGGAAAGTGTTTTAACTCTAACATATTAAGACTATATGCAATAAGAACAATTATTTTTTAAATATTTTTATTTTACAATTAACTTCATTTCACATATCAGCCATGAATTCTCCAGTCCTCCTTCCTCCCTTCCCCCAGTCCTCCCCCCTCAACCCCCCATTCCTACCTCCTCCAAGGCAAGGTCCCCCCTGGGGAGTCAGCTCAGCCTGGTAGACTCAGCTGAGGCAGGTCCAGTCCCCTCATCCCTACACCAAGGCTGAGCAAAGTGTTCCAGCATAGGCCCCAGACTCCAAAAAAGCCAGCCCATGCACCAAGAATAGGTCCCAGCTCCACTGCCTGGGGGCCTCCCAAACAGTTCAAGCTAATCAACTGCTCACTTATCCGGAGGGCCTAGTCCAGTTCCATGGGGGTTCCTCAGCCATTGGTTCACAGTTCATGCATTTCCATTAGTTTGGCTATTTGGCCCTGTGCTTTTTCCAATCATGGTCTCAATATCTCTTGCTCATATAATCCCTCCTCTCTCTCACCAATTGGACTCCTGGAGCTCCACCTGGGGCTCGGCCATGGATCTCTGCATCCACTTCCATCATACACTGGATGAGAGTTCTATCATGACAGCCAGGGTGTTCAGTCATCCGATCACCAGAGCAGGTCAGCTCAGGCACTCTCTCAGCCATTGCCAGTAGTCTACAGTGGAGGCATCTTTGTGAATTTCTCAGGACCTCTCTAGCACTCTGCTTCTTCCTATTCCCCTGGGGTCTTCATTCATCATAGTATCTCCCTCCCTGTTCTCTCACTCTGCTCTTGATCTAGCTGGGACCTCCCACTCCCCTAAGCTCTCTTTCCCCCAACCCTTGCCCTCCATTACCCCCACCACCCTCAGTTTGTTCATGTAGATCTCATCCATTTCTCTGTCATTGGGTGATCCCTGCATCTTTCTTAGGGTCTCTTTACTAGGTAGCCTCCTTGGAGTTGTGAGTTGCAGTCTGGTTATCCTTTGCTTTACATCTAGTATCCACTTATGAGTGAGTACATACCATGTTTGTCTTTCTCAGTTTGGGTTACCTCACTCAGGATGATTTTTTTTTTCTAGTTCCATCCATTTGCCTGCAAACCTCATGATGTCATTGTTTTTCTCTGCTGAGTAGTGCTCTATTATGTATATGTACCAC